TGCAGCCACCGTGTATTTTGAACGCCTTCCTACCTAGTGGGCTCATCTTCCAACACTATATAGGACAGTATTCTGTTGTGATCCATAGAATTTTCATTGCCTAATTTCTGTCTTAGTCTGGAAGGTCTACTGAAACCTGTCCACTATGGGTAACCCTACTGGTATTTGAGATACCTGTGGAATAGCTCCCACCATCACAGCAACACACAAAGCCACCACAGTACAACAAACAGACGGGCGGATTGTGGAAAGGCTCAGTACTTGGTTATTGTTACTGTTATTTTTGTGATGAGTCCTAATCTGTAAATTGAGGAAGCATCTATAGTATCTTTGAGTAGGTGTCAAAACCTCTGGTTGAAAACTTGGGTGAAGTTTGTTCCTTTATATTGCTGAATGCTATTCTGTTCTATCGATATACCACCTTTTTCTTATTCATTGGACATTTGGATTGTTTCCACTTTTTGGCAATTATGAGTACTAGGCTACTATAAACATTTATATACATGTCCTTTGTGGATCTATGGTTTCATTTCTCTCTTGTAGATTCCTGGAAGTGGAATTCCTGGGTTCTATAGTGTCATGGATTGAATTGTGTCTCCGCAAAATATGTGTCAACTTGGTTAGGCTGTGATTCCCTGTATTGTGTGGTTGTCCTCCATTTTGTGATAGTAATTTTATGTTAAAGAGGATTAGGGTGAGATTGTAACACCCTTAATAAGGTCACATCCCTGATCCAACGTAAAGGGAGTTTCCCTGGAGTGTGGCCTACACCACTTTTTATCTTACAAGAGATAAAAGGAAAGGAAAGCAAGCAGAGAGGGGGCACCTCATACCACCAAGAAAGCAGTGCCAGGAGCAGAGTGCATCCTTTGGACCTGGGGTTCCTGCGCAGAGAAACTCCTAGTCCAGGGGAAGATTGACAAGAATCTTCTTCCAGAGCCAACAGAGAAAGCCTTCCCCTGGAGCTGACGCCCTGAATTTGGACTTCTAGCCTACTAGACTGTGAGAGAATAAACTTCTGTTTGTTAAAGCCATCCACTTGTGATATTTCTGTTACAGCAGCACTAGATAACTTAAGACATATAGTAAGTTTATGTTGAACATTTTTGAACCCGTCAAATTGTTTTCCAAAGCGGTTGTACCATTTACATTCAGCAATGTAGAGGGTTCCAGTTTCTCCACTTACTCACTAACAATAGGCATCTTTTTTATTATAGTTAATCTAGTGGGTGTGTATTGGTGTGTCATTACGGTTTTAATATACATTTCCCTAATGACTAATGATATTGAGCATCTTTTCATGAGCTTATTAACCATTCAGATATCTTCTTTGATAAAATGTCTATTCAGCTCTTTTGCCCATTGTTTTAAAATTGAATTTAAAAAAATTTTATTATTTAATTATTTCTCCCCGTCTGTGGCTTGTCTTTTCATTTTGTTAAGGGTATCTTCTGAAGCATAGACATTTTTAATTTTGACAAAGTCCAATTTATCAATTTCTTTTTTTTATGGACGATGCATTTGGTGCGTAACCAAGATTACTTTGCCCGACCTAAGGTCGTGAAGATTTTCTCCTATGTCTTCTTTCCAAAGTTTTAGAGGTTTTTAAGTTTCTGCACTGAGGTCTCTGATGTATTTTGAGTTAATTTTTGTGTTTGATATGAGATTTAGGTTGAGGTTCTTTTTTTTTTTTTTTGGCTGTTGTGCAAACCTGAGACTCTTCTTGCTTGCAAGGCTGGCTCTTGGCTGGCATCTAGAAACAGATTTCAGAGAGTTCTCACCATCGAGTGAACACCATTCAGAGTGGTTCACGGTGTTTCAAGTGAGGCAGCAGTGGTTTAGAGGTAGAATTCTCACCTTTGATCGGGGAGACCCAGGTTCAATTCTTGGCCAATGCACCACATGTGCAGCCACCACCCATCTGTCGGTGGAGACTTGCGTGTTGCTGTGATACTGAACAGGTTTCAGTGGAGCTTCCAGACTAAGACAGATTAGGAAGAAAGGCCTGGTGGTATATTTCCAAAAAATCGGTCAATGAAAACCCTATGGCTCACAGTGGTCCTATCTGCCGCCAATCCTGGGGATGGTGCAGGACCAGGCGGCACGTCATTCTGCTGTGCATGGGGTCACCCAGAGTCAGAGGCTGACTCAACAGCCGCTAAAAACAACAGCTGTGTCTAAACTGTTTGTTCAGACAGTGTGGTTTATGGGTAATGTGATTTATGCTGGACACCTGCTTTCCTTCTGGGAGTCTAGAATTGTGGAACATGCTAGGCAGAAGGTACCTATCTGAGCAGCACTCGGTAAAAATCCTGGTTACTAGTTTCTGATGTTCTTCCCTGGTAGGTAAGATGTCACATGAGTTGTCACAACTCATTTCCGAAGGAACTAAGCACGTCCTGTGTGACTCCAGTAGCGGGGGGCTCTTAGAAGCTCATGACTGGTTTCTTCTGGACTTTGTGTCATGTACTTTTCCCTCTGCTGATTTCGCTTTGTGTTCTTTCACTGTAATAAAACATGGGTATGACTGTATGCTGAGTCTTCCTGGCAAATCACTGAACCCGGCGATGGTCTTGGGGACCCTGACGCACCTACGGATATCCGGTTGCTTCAGCGCCATTTATTGAAAAGACTGACCTTTCTCTCTTGAATTTTCTTGATAACCTTTGTCAAAAATCAATTGACCGTACGTGTAAAGATGTATTTTTGGACTCTGTCTTCTGTCTCATTGCCTGTCCTTGTGCCAGTACCACACTGTCTTAATTACTGTGGCTTTAGAGTGAGTTTTGAAATCGGATAGCTTAAGTCCTCCAATTTTGTTCTTCTTTTTCAAAATTGTTTTGGCTTTTCTAGGTCCTTCCCATTTCCATGTAGATTTTAGGACCAGCTTGGCAGTTTCTACTAAAAAGCTTACAGGGGTTTTGATTAGGATTGTGTTGAATCTGTCGATCAGTTGGGAAGAATTGACATTTTGACAATAGTGAGTCTTCCAGTCCATAAACATGGAATGTCTCTCCATTTAATATCTTTCAGCAAAATTGTGTCATTTCATTGTACGTGTCTTACATTTCTTTTTGTTAAGTTTATTGCTAAGTATTTTATTCTTTTTGATGCTGTTATGAATGGAACTGTATTCTCGATTTCATTTGAAGATTATTCATTGCTGGTATGTAGAAATACAGTTCTTTTTTTATACTGATCTTATAACTTGCGACCATGATAAATTTACTAGTTCTAGTATTTGTTTTGTGGATTTTGTGAGATTTTCTACATACAGGATCATGTCATCTGTGAATAAAGAGAGCTTTACTTCTTCCTTTCCAATCTGGATGCCTTTAGTTTTATTTATTTGCCTAATTGCCACTGGCTTGGACCTCCAGTACTGTGTTGATTAAACTAAGCCAAACCGATTGCCGTCAAGTTGATTCCGACTCATAGCAACCCTGTAGGACAGAGTAGAACTGCTCCGTAGTATTTCCAAGGAGTGGCTGGTGGATTCGAACTGCCAGCCTTCTGGTTAGCAGCTTGAACTCTAAACCGCTGCGCCGACAGTGTTGCTAGGAGTAGCAAAAGTGGACATCCTTGCCTGGTTCCTGACTGTAAGAGAGTAAGTAGTCAATCATTCACCATGGACTGTGATGTTAGGTCCCTTTATCAGGTTGAGTATATTCTCTTTTATTCCTAATTTGTTGAGAGTTTTTTTTTTATCATGAATGTGTTTGGATTTTGTCAAAGGCTTTTCCCTTACATTTATTGAGATCATTGTGTATGTTCTTTATTCTATTAATATGGTATATGACATTATTTCTGGAATAAATCACACTGGGTCACAGTGTCTAATCCTTTTTATGTTGCTAGGTTCAGGTTGCTAATACTTTGCTGAGGATTTGTCTGTATATATTCATGAGGGATATTGGCCTGGTGTTTCGTTTTCTTGTGATGCCCTTCTCCGGTTTTGGATCAGGGTAATACTAGCCTCATGGAGTGAGTTAGGAAGTGTTGCCTCCTCTCCGTACCTGTCCATTTCCTTTTAAGGGAATAATTTATGGTCTTTTAGAGGTGACCAGGAGCAGTTCTCTCTCCTCTTCTCAAGGCTAATTCTTTGCAGAACTGTCTTAGGATTCACACCTGGCATCTCAGTGTCGTTGGTGGGTCAGATGCCCAGGACCCCAGAGACACGTTATCTGATCACATCTGGTGCTCACATGGGGGGTACATGCTAACCTGGCAGCTGTGAAGCTTGGCTGAGGGCGCTTGTCCCCGCCACCTCTCTTTTTCTTTTAAATTTTATTTATTTTGTTGTTGAGAATACACACAGAAAAACATATACCAATTCAAGTTTCTACATGTACAGTTTAGTAACATTGATTGCATCCTTCAAGTTGTGCAACCATTCTCACCCTCCTTTTCTGAGTTGTTCCTCCCCCATTAACATAAACTCACTGCCCCCTGAGATTCCTATCTAATCTTTTGAGTTGCTGTTGCCCATTTGATCCCATATAGATAGTTCTTAAAAGAACATAATGCTCAAGGCAGACCTTTTTTACTAGTTAAGCTAGACTATTGTTTGGTTTTAAGAAGACTTCAGGGGCTATTTTTGGTTCAAGATTCAAAGATTGTCTCCAGGCAATAGTTTCAGGTGTTCATCCACCTTCCATGGCTCCAGAAAGAATCTGAAATTCTGTTCTGCATGTTCCTCCTTTTGATCAGGATTCTTCTATGGAATCTTTGATCAAAATATTCAGTAATGGCAGCCAGGAACCATGCAGTTCTTCTCGTCTCATGGCAAAGGCAGTTGTTCCTGGAGGCAGTTATCCTCCTCCTATACCTGGCTGTCCTTCTTCCTATGTTGTTCAAGGTGAATAGAGACCAATTGTTGTGCCTTGAATGACCAGTTGCAAGCTTTTCAGACCCCAGGCACTATGCGATGAACTAAGAGTTAGAACAGAAGCACCAAACACATTATTAGGCCCATTAACTTCTCCTCTGTCTTTTAACAGAGCAGCCACGAACCACAAGGTGCGGGAGCAGGTGCGCCTAGAGCTAAGCTTCGTGAACTCAGACCTGCAGATGCTCAAGGAAGAGCTGGAGGGGCTCAACATCTCAGTGGGAGTCTACCAGAGCACAGAGTAAGTGGGCAGTACTTCTTCCTCCTGCTTTCTGAGCCTCAGAATGTGCCTGCGTTACGGCTGGGTGCATGGATAGGCCAGGTGGGAAGTTGGGAACCAAGGGTGTGGCAAGACCCCACCTTGGGAACAAGGGCATTACTGGGTTTGGGGTTGAGCTGGGTGCTAGAGTTAAGGGAATAAACCTATGGAGTTTTGGGGAAATGGCCTGGAGAGTTGGACAACAAGACATTTGTCCTGGAACCTCATTGGATATGGTTGTATGGGAGAACTGTGTGTCTGGGTCCAGGCAGAGAGACAGGACCTCTCACGTGGGCTGAGTGGTGACTCTGCCATGAAGATGCCCTGGAAGGCCTTCTGTGGTTAGCTTGGAGAGCCAACCTGCCAGACAGGGGCCCAGGTTGCCCTCCTTTCTCCCCCCAGCGATCTCTGTCTCTGCCCTTCCTATCCACTCTCTGCCTTACCACCACGTACAGAGCCTGACTCTGGGCCATTCTACTGATACAATGCAAAAAAGCTTTAACATGGCATCTTTCACATCGAAGATGATGGGACCCTGTGTGAGTTCCCTAAGGAGATGGTACGACTGAGACACTTCAGAAATTTAACCCACTAAATATTTGAGAAGGACATTCTAATTCAAAAGCCTCCCTTAGGTGTGCTTGTGGGAGGTAAAGTGTTGAGATGTGGCCCCCAGAAAAGCTCAGAACACCAAGAAAATCTTCCACCCTAAGGTGAGCTACCTTTGAAAGAAAGATCCATCTTTAAGAAGAAGTAACTTTGAAAAGCTCCAAAGAAGGCTTGACATACTTTTCTATGTGGGGAAATGAAACTTCTCCAAAGGTAGGTGGGCCCTAGGGGAAGCTCAGTTAGATAATAGTTCCCTGGATTAACAGAGGGAAGACCTCTGGGACCTTGGTGCCCCGTTTGGAGTGTACTTTCCTTGATCATAGTCCTCTGTGTTGCATGGTGGGCCTTTTTTTCTGGGCCAGAGGGAAAGTGTTAGCATGTGAAACCTCCTCTCTTCTCTTTGTGACATCAGGTATACCTGGGCTCTTTTACCGTTGGGCTCCCATTGCTGTTTCGAACACGTATTCAGAACAACATCAAAATAGTTCTCCCAGCTACCCGTGATTCCAGCTCAGAGTTCCTCAAGGAGGCAAGGCAGAGGCCAAACTTTGGTCATAAATGTAGACTGTCTTGTCTTCCCATTTGCCAAACTGAATGGCAGGGACATCCATTATGGGGCTTCCCATAGAGGCATGCCATTAAGACCCCTGTGTGGTCACATTGTGGCCCTAAGATGGCCAAAGTGATCACCTGGCCTGTCGGGAAGAGCAGAGAGAGACGTGCAGATTCACACCGACACCCTGCGTCCATGCCCGCCAGTCTTCTTTTTTCGCAAAGTAGTTTGTTTTCTTAGCACATTTGATCTTTAAACACTCCTGTGAGGTAGGCAGGGCAGAAACGATCTCACCATGGGAATGAGAAAACCCAGGAAGGCCTGAGGTCACAGAGACGGTTATGTGGGAGCCAAGATTGGGTGGCGGAGCTCCGGTGTGGGGCCTCAGGACCCGCGCTGCTCCTCTTGCCTGGACGGTCACAGGAAGAACAGAGCTGCCTCCGCCCTGCTTGGGGTGAGGACAGGCTGGCACTGTGGCCCCCAGGGAGAGAGGCATGGCCTGTCCTCATCTCCCTGCTTCCCTGCTGGCTTTGGGAAGCCACCTTCCGCAGTGGGTCTCACCTGCTTTTAGCACAGCCCAGTTCTTCCTCTCTGCCACAGAGGCTGTTTCCACTTACCAGCCGCATTGTCCGTTCACCCTGCCCAGCACTTCCGGCCTTCCCCTGGGCTGGGCTGAGCAGCCAAGGGGGTCTCCTGTTACAGGCCAGGGAGCTAAATCCCTGTTCGCAAAACATGGCCTGAGCCCGTTTGACTTCCTGTTGGCCCTGCCCCTAAGTGTGTAGGGCTCAGGGAGCACTCCCGGGGGACTGTGGTGTTACTGAATGTTCAGTGGTGGGAAGCCACGGCCCAGGGCCTGGCTCTGTGCTGGGAGCTGGGAGCACATAGGTCTTGTCCTCAAGGGGTTCCCTGTGCATTTGATGGGACCCTTAGAATGACACACCCCAAAGGAGGAAGCCTCCAAGAGCCCATGTTGTGAGTGTGGGGTGCAGTGGACTCACTGCAGTGCATGGGGGGGTAGGGTCTGGGGCTGACAAAGGTTAGGCCCACTGTGGTAGGGTGGTGTGTCCAGGTCGGGGAGCAGACCCTGGTGCACAGTAGGCTCTCAACAGTTACTGAAAGGAGGGTTGCGATCTGACAGATAAGTCGGGGTCAAGGTTGTAGGGGCCTTGTATGTTAAGCTGGGTAGTCTAGGAATCAGAGGGAATCTGATCAGTTTTAGAACAGGGAGGGACATAACCAGAGTCCTCTCTGTGGAAGATTAACCTGTCAGCCACGTGGATTAGCATGAGGAGAGAGAAGGGGCTTGGGTTGGGCTGGTGAGGGAAGGTTGTGGGGTGCAAAGTGGCTGGGTTACCAGAAACCAAACCAAACCCGTTACCATCGAGTTGATTTCAACTCATAGCAACCCTAAAGGACAGAGTAGAACGGCCCCACAGAGTTTCTAAGGAGCAGCTGGTGGGTTCGAATTGCCGACCTTTTGGTTAGCACCCAAACTCTTAACCACTATGTCACCAGGGCTCCAGTGGCTGGGTTAGGGGCGTTCATATACCTTGTTATGTTTCTTGCAGGGAGGCATTTACGATTCCCCTGATTCCTCTTGGCCTGAAGGAAACCAAAGATGTTGACTTTTCAGTCGTTCTGAAGGTAAATCTCTAAGCAGCGGGCACTGGACTCGGTGTTTAACGTGGAAATACGCAAATTGTGTATCCCTTGCAGCAGCCTGAGGCTTAATGTTCTGAGTGTCGGTGATTTCTGCGAGGTGACCTTGATCCCTCTCAGAAGTCCCACCAAGAACCTCGTGCATTTCTCTCACATCCTGGCTCTTGTCTTTGGTGACTCCTGAAGGGTTGGTTGGGAACCCAGGCCAGCCCCGGCCCCCCCAAGTAGGCCAAGTCCTAGGGTCTGTGTGTGGATGTGCTCTGGAATTTAAAAAATTGTATCTTATTTTAGTATCTTTATTCATAAATTTTAGAACTGATTTAGGCCGTATTTTTGGAAGAATAGCTAATGTTTTACCCTCAACATTTTATTATGTTTATTTCAAAACTTAGAGAAAAATTGAAAGAATTTTGCAGTGAAGCCCTGTATATTCACTACCTAGATTCTACCATTAACATTTTATTATAGTTGCTTTATCACATACCCATCTACCTGTGGGTCCCTTTAGCTAGTCATCATTCTATCTTTTTTTTTTTTGGGATGCATTTCAAAGTAAGTTGCAGACGTTGGTTCAGTACTCTTAAGTAGTTTAATAACTAGAGTTTTGGGGGCTTTTCCTGTCTAATTCTCTTCTTTTTTAGTAACAGCTTAGTGAGATAGAAGCTATGTACCACTTAAAATGTACAGTATTTGGCCTCCTCTTAACCGTGTGTGTCTGTGGCATGCAGCCTGGGGTCCTCTCGTGAAACAGATATTCGTAGGCCCACCTGTGCCAGGCACTGTGCTCGGTGCTGGTGATGTCACAGGCATAGTTCTGTGGGGGTGGGGTGATTTCAGACCTGGTGGATGTGGGAGGAGAAGGATGCTTCAAAGGAGGAGATACACAGGAAAGGCAGGGCCTCCGGCTGGACTCTGGAGGCCACCGCGTGCCTGGACTGCCTGCCTTTCTCCCTGTGTTTGACTCCCCAACTCCATCAGACTGGGTTTTAATAAATCACCTTGAACATCCGTTTAGGAGAAGACAGAGGTGATGAGGTGGAAGGTGGTACCTGTCTCTGACTTTCCAGCACAGGCTTGGTGTATGAAACTCCCAGTGTCATGAAAAAGAATTCAGATAATTGCTTTCCTCTCCATACTGATCCTGTTGACTCATCTTAGACTACTTGTAGTTTAAAAAAGAAAAAAAATATGAAATTTTCACCACTATAAAATTTGTCCATATAAAAGTAAACAGTTGATACTTGGGAAAGTTCACTTGACACCCCCATTCTCAAGCCAAAGCAGAAAAACCAAACTGGTTGCTGTTGAGTCGATTCTGACTCAGCGGCAACCCCATCTGTGTCAGAGCAGAAATGTGCTTCACAGGGTCTTCAGTGAGTGATTTTTTGGAAGCAGATCACTAGGCCTTTCTTCCAAGGTACTTTTGGGTGGACTCCAGCCGCCAGCCTTTTGGTTAGCAGCCAAGCATGTTAAAAGATTGCATCACCCAGGGACTCCCCATTCTCAGGCAGAGAATGTGAATTACTTAACATTAGCTCTCTTGCCCAGGGCCCTTTTAACTGCTGCGTTAGCGCTGCTATCCAGAAGGTCGGAAGTTGGAGCCCACCTAGAGGCTCCTTAGAAGAAAGGCCTGGTGATCTACTTCCAAAAAATCAGCCATTGAAAACCCTATAGAGCACAGTTCTACTCTGACACACACGGGGGCGCCATGAGCTGGAAATGACTCAACAACAGCTGGTGGTGGTGGTGGTGGTTAAATCCAGGCCTGAGGCCCTATGAGTTTGGGGTTTATTTTAGAGTTTGAGAAGGGAAGTTGGCAGTCTTGCAAGACCCAGGATTACCAGAAATTGCTTTCTGGGTAGAAAACAATTCAGTAGCTTTCTGCCAACACTTCCCTGGTCGCCTGAAGTTTTAGATGTGACACTCGCGTGGGTCTCTGGGATTTGTGGTAATCCATGTGTCTGTGCAAACTGTCTTTAGTTACTTTTGTAGAATAGTTTCTTTTAGATTTAGATTGTTGCTCAGTGCCAGAGCTGTAAGAGTGCAAGCATTTTAAAGGGAGACTCTCTCGGAGAAACTTCGGGATTTTATGGACATCTGCAAGGATCCAGATGTGTCACATGCTGAATTCCACATGAAAGCGAGTAAAAGAGCCAACTGTATTCAGCTCAGCTCTTCAACCATGTCATTTCAGCCTAAAAGGGACTCTACAGATGTCAGTCATAAAAATAAGAATGTATGGGGGACTTTCTATTTTTTCCCTTCCACATTTGGGCTTGAGAGTAACACGGGCAGGTACCACAGAAGTGGTTCGGTTGACTTAATTAGGGCAATTCAAGTTGGCTTCCAAATCGGAGAGCCCATGTGATGTTTGTCAGTAAGGCTTCCTGATGTGATTTTCTTCTCTTTTAAATAAATGGGCTTTGAAACAGCTACCTTAAAAAGTACCAGTGAAGTAAATTCCCTTGCCAGAGAATTCCAATTGTTTTCATGCTTTTAAATGGAGCTTTATTTATTTATTTATTTTGATTAAGGACATTGATTCAGAACATTCAGAAAATACCAAGACATGTAACGATCCCTCACAGCCCCACCTCATCCTCCCCACTTAGCTGTGTAACTTGCTCAAAGTACTTTATCTTTGGACACCCTGGTCCCTTCCCCAAATCAGGTTACTTGCCTCCTGAGGGTATTGTGAGGGCTGGACGAGACATACACATTCAAAGCTTAGCATGACATCTGCCTGTAGTAGGTGCTATACAAGGTAGCTGTTATTTTCATGATTTAGTCAACTCCCAAATGCTTATTTATTGTAAGCAATTCTCCACTGAGCATCTTTGCACACTCGCTCAATATTCCCTTTGGATAAGGGTTTCTAGATGTGGATTTGGTAGGTCAAAGATACATTTTTTGCCTAATTACTTGCCGGAAGTGGTCCTGCCTTTCACTTCTACACTGGGTATTAATTATTTTGATTCAAAAAATCTTTTTTCAATCTGTCTTAAAACAATAACATTAATGATGTCTTAATGTTATTACAGTTTGCATTTCTCTGATTAGTACCGGGGTTGAATATAATCTCATGTGCTTATTTGCCCCTTACATTTCTCCTTTTTGAAAGGCCTGTTTCTATCCTTTGCTCACTTTTCCATACTATTGCTGTTCTTATTTTTTATAAGAGCGCTTTTATGTGTTAAGGATATTAACCCTTTGCTATACGTGATATATTTTTCCCAGTATATTCTTTCCTTTAACTTTGATTTTACAAACAATAAGTAGTTAGAAAATATATATATATTTTTTGCCATGCCGATTTTTACGTTATTAAACTTATCAGTTCTTTCCTTTATAATTTCTGCAGTCCTGCCTTGACGACACATTTGGGAACGCATTCTCCACACCAAGACTGCATAGACGTTTTGCTCTAGTTTCTTCTAATGCTTTGTTGTTAAATTTTTCTTTTATTGTACTTTAGATGAAGGCTTATAGAACAAACTAGCTTCTCATTATACAGTACACATATTATTTTATGACATTGGGTAACAACCCCACGACATGTCAACACTCTCCCCTCTCAACCTTGGGTTCCCTATGACCAGCTTTCCTGTCCCTCCTGCCTTCTAGTCCTTGCCCTTGGGCTGGTGTGCCCCTTTACTCTCGTTTCATTTTATGGGCCTGTCTAATCTTTGGCTGAAGGGTAAACCTCAGGAGTGACTTCATTACTAAGCTAAAAGGGTGTCCGGGGGCCATTCTCTCAGGTTTTCTCCAGTCTCTGTCTGGCCAGTAAGTCTGGTCTTTTTTTGTGAGTTAGAATTTTGTTCTACATTTTCCTCCAGCTCTGTCCAGGACCCTCTGTTGTGATCCCTGTCAGAACAGTCAGTGGTGGTAGCCAGGCACCAT